GGCCCAGCTATGTGCCCAGCGAGGAGAGCCGGCTCCTTCTTCTCACCGAGCTTCTGGAGAGAAAGGCCCACTCCCCGTTCTACCAGGAAGGCGTGAGCAATGCGCTGCTGAAGATGGCCGAGCTGGGGCTGACCCAGGCGGCCGATGTTCTCCTGCGAAACGGGCCAACCTCAACTTTGAAGACCCGGTCACTTACTACACGGCCCTGCACATCGCTGTCCTGCGAAACCAGCCTGACATGGTGGAGCTGCTGGTGCACCACGGGGCCGACATTAACTGGAGGGACGGGATCCACGAGAGCAGCCCCCTGGACCTGGCCAGCGAGGAGCCGGAGCATCTGCCCTGCCTGCAGCGCCTCCTGGACCTTGGGGCAGACGTCAATGCAGCCGACAAGCATGGGAAGACTGCTCTGCTCCACGCTCTGGCCAGCAGAGGCGGGCGTGCAGATTCACAACACCAACATCCGGCTGCTGCTGGAGGGAGGGGCAGACGTGAAGGCGACCACCAAAGACCCAAAGACGGGGACACCTTGTTCACGTGCATCATCTTCCTGCTCGGGGAGACGGTGGGAGGGGACAAAGAGGAGGCCCAGATGATCAACCGCTTCTGCTTCCAAGTCACGCAGCTGCTGCTGGCTCACGGGGCGACCCCCAGCGAGTGCCCAGCCCAGGAGTCGCTCACGCACATCTGCCTCAAGAGCTTCCAAGTGCACTTCCCTCTCCTGCGCTCCCTATAACTGTTCCCTCCACGGAGCGTCCTGCTGGTCTGGCTTCCATATGGTCTTCGACAGAGCCACGGGGACCTCCTGCGCAAAGCCGAGACTGTCCTGGATCTCATGGTAACTAATTCCCCAAAACTACAGCTGCCGGAAAACTTAGACATCAATCCCGTGGGCAGCCTGGCAGAAAGATCCGGGCCCTTCACTCCTCCCTGAGGCAGCTGGAGAACTACCCCCCGCCCCTCAAGCACCTGTGTTGCGTTCACATCCGGCTCTACCTTCAGCCGTGGCCCGTGGATGCGAAGGTCCAAGCCCTGCCTCTGCCCTACAGGCTGAAGTGGTACCTCCTCAGTGAGCACAGCAGCCCCGTGGAGGCTGACATCTGACCGCTCCAGACCGAGGGGACAGTCTGGGCCCCTCAGCCAGCCCGCTGGTGGACTAAAGTCCCGGCGGCCTTGGGGGAACCTTCGGTCCCGCCTGTGAGAAGGCGCAGGCTGCCTGTCGGAAGGTGTAGGCTGGTACAGGAGAGCCGGCAGCTGCGGTCATTCCTGTGGGAAAGGCTGTGTCTTCAGGGAGACGGCCCCCATCTCTGACAGTGACCCAGTTCTCAACCCACATGGGAGAAAATGACAGGGCTTTGATTTGGGACAGGCGTGAAAGGACTAGTAGGCATTCCTGAGCGCAGGACTCCTGTGAGCTGCATGGACAGAGCTGAAGCCAGAAGGAACTGGGTGGGCCTTTGTGGGTGCGGCCCAGGCAAGGCCCTTTACTCCACAGAAGGGCTTTGGTGGGCGGGGAGAGAGCGGAGCTGCTTCCTGCTGGTGTCGCCGCCCCGCCCACCAGGGCACAGGGCTGTGCCAAACCCAGGTCTTGGGGACCATGCCTTCTGCTAAAAAGCAATCATGCATGACCAGGGACATTCCAAAATGTCTCACCTGAGGATGAAAGCTACCAGGACTGAAGGCTGACTCCTGCCTGGTGCTGAGCCTCACAAAGCTGTCATGATGGTCCTTGTGAATTGTGTAAATGCCTCAGATATAAGCTAAGGCAACTAAAAGCATGTTTATATTACCCAATTAGACTGACTTCTCTGGTCTTAAAAGGCCCTTGATAACATCTCTGCCCCCCATTTCAGGATGAGGGACCTCGCAGCATCCTGGAAGAGGGGGTCAGCACGAGCAGACACTGCATTCGGGCTCAAGTAACACTTGTCCCATAACAAAAGCACCACTCCAGACCGTGGGGCCTTCCAACACAGGGGTTCACCCTTTTTATTTCTGACTGAAAACGTCCGCCACGGAGGAACCACAAGGCACGGCCAAGAGTGAGCTGTGGACCTCTCCCTGCTGCGGGCTGCTGTGACCACCACATTAGGGACACCAGAGCCCATCACCAGAGGACTTGAAACATGAACCTACCACCAGCTGTGATACAGCAGCCGCGCCTCTCCCCGGAGGTCATGTCCTCAGCTGCGGTCAGGGTTCTCTTCCTCTTAAGGCCGCCAGGCCTGTGGCTGGTGATGGAGACCAGGAGTCTCGCTTCTGATGGGTCGCCATACCCCACAGACCTGCACTGCCCAGGCCTCACCTGAGGGCAGCGGAGCCAGGCGCCTGCCTCACTGCCCATTGGATGGCACTCCTCCTCGGTGGGTCCTGTGGTTAAAAAGAGCCTGTATAGCCAGTGGATGGCAGGCAGGTACATTTACTGGCCTCACTCAACTCCTGCGAACCATCAGAATGAGCCTCTGATGGCACCTGGCTGCCAGCTGTCCGCCCCTGCCGGTCCCTCTTGCCCTGCAGCCCTGCTCATCTCAGGGCCAAGCTGTAGACGTGGTAGATCTCATCGGGGAGGTTCTCCTGCTGCTCCTGGGCGAGGAGGCTGAGGCCTGCGCTTCGGAAGATGCCGTGGACCACCTCGAGGTCCCGGCACACGCTGCTGTCCACATCGTCCAGGATCACGCCCTCCTGGGCCATGTTGTCTTTGATGACGATGATGCCGTTGGGGCACAGGCCCTGCTTGCAGCGCCGCAGAAACTCGGCCAGGTGCAGATAGGTCAGGTGGCCTGGAAGGCAGAGGCGTGGGAACAGGATGGTGCGGGCACACTCGCCACTGGCTGCTCCTCAGCCACCGCTCATTCCACTTTGCACTTTACGATTGACACACAGGGCCAACTGCCCTCAACAGTCCAGGGGGGTCACTGAAGCCCATTTTGTGAAAGAGAAGACTGGGTCGAAGTCACCAAGCCACAAGCAGCCATGGAATGTGCAGCTGGGATTCCACCCTGACCAGTGACTTCAGGCCCTGCCTGACACCTCACTCCACATGCCACCCACCCTCCTAGGCCTGGACCAGGGCGGTGTACCCAACAGTTCGCTCGCTCTGTTAGAACTCCAGACAGGCTTTTTGGGACCACAGAATACAGGGCCAGATGCAGTAGGTCCCACAGGGTGGTGCTGCCTGCCTGGGAGGGTGGCTGACCGCTGGAAAAGTGGCCTGCTCAAGGCCAGCAGTCTGGGCAGAGCACCCTGCACGTGTCGTTAGGCCGAGAGGGCGCAGGACATGATGGCAAAGCTGGCTCACTGCCAATAGCAGGGACAGCCAAAGCTTCAACCTTCCTCTTAAAAAAAACCCTTTTATAAAAAAAAAAAATTTTTCTTTGCTCCTATTCTTAATGCTCATAATTTTAATAATAAACTGCCACATATGCTTAATTATTTTCAAATTGTTATATAAATCGTTGAATGACTGTAAGTACATTTTGATTAAGAAATACATTTTATTTTCTTATAAAATCAAACCTGAAAGAGTAACATTTATTTCTTTTCTTCCTACTCTGAGCTGCTACCCTGAATCAATACTTTCTATTTGCATTAGAGCACTACATCATGGTGCTCTTTTATGCATGACTTCCTTCATTTTGGGGAAGTATTTTATCTACTTCTTTGTACCATACATTTATTTTGATTAAATTTTTAAAATATTGGTTTGCATTTTAAAGACTAACCTTAAGTAGAATTTTAACCTTCTGAATTACATCTATTTGCAATGTGCTTTTTATTCAATGATGTATTCTTCCTATATAGTGTATTGTTATTTCATCTGAGAAAAAATTTTAAGAATTGAAAAATTACAATTTTTAACACAATTGTATATTATGGGAAGATATATTTTGGAGTGATACTTTTTGAAAATATTTTCATAACACATGTGTACATTTCTACTCAGCCTCCCATTTCAAAAGGAATAATTGGAGAAAAGGAACAAAGTTTAAGATTCTTATCCCTTGGGTGGCAATTTTAGCTCTATTGCTTATTAGTTGTGTAACCTTGGGCATAATATTTTGTTTTCTATACATCAGATTCATCATTTGTAAAATAGGAAGTGTGATAGGACCTGATTCATAATATAGTTATGATGTTTAAATTCATTAATAACTGTAAGTACTGAGAATGTTTTCTGACCCAGAAATGTTATTTTAAAAAATATTTACTCCCAGTTATTTTCAAATACCTGCCTTCAGACAGGCTTTGGTCCATTTTGAAGTTTACTACACTCCATTATCAAGAGGAGATAAACTACATTAAGGTGAGATTTTTATAAAACAAAATTATTAATTCATTAGCTAGAATTCTCTTTTATTATGAAAAATATGTTAGCTCATGCCATTTTGGTGACTACATGACATAAGCTAAGATCTTTAATTCAACATACTTTACGGGAACTTAACATTATCCAGAAGCTCTACAACTATCATACTCAGTGTCCAGCTTAGAATAAAAAATTACCAAATGTGCAAAGAAAAAAATGAATAAATAATATTCTGTCAAAAAATAAAGCAGATACTTCAGATATTAGAAGGAGCAGAAGAAAAAATATAAAACATGAAGCTGCTATTATGAATGTTTTAAAGGACTTAATTAAACTTATGGTGATAATATACAAAGAGATAGAAAGATATGTTAGCTTATGCCATTTTGGTGACTACATGGCATAAGCTTTTTTGTGAAATATTAATCCTAAGTAGAAATCATTATTATTATTCTTGCTATATATGCACTTAATATCTAGAAAAAAGCAGCATTACAAAATGTATTTCATATAAAGTGTTTAAAATTTTATGAACTGAAAAGTTGATAAACCACGGAGTTAGAAAACCTACCCCAATCTATATTTTTCTAGAACTATTCACTTGCAAAGCAGATATAATGCAGTAGAAATACTTTAGATATAAAATCAGAAGACCTGAGTTAAAATTCATCTTTTTTATCACTCTGTCACAATAAGCAAATAACAGCTTTTCTTCATTTAAGCTTTCTTATTTTGACAACAGTTAAAATGTATTTCTGTTTTGAAAGAGTAGCTAGTATAGGACTTGGAATTCCAACACTAACTTCTGTAAAATTGTATGAAATTTTGAAATCAATATTTTCAGACATTGTAAAAGAGGCAGTTGAGGACAACTATCCTCGGGGAAAGAAAAGAATATAATGTGAGCCCCAGTATTTCAACAATTGCCACAACTTTGTCTAGAGTACTTTACTGACAGAGAGCATAGAAATAGAAACAAACTTGAGTGAAAGTCTTGCTTAACTGAGGAGACAGAGTCTAGATTTACAGGCTACTGAGGCAGTTGGAATTGTAGGAAAAAGTATGTAAGATGGAAAGGATATTTCTACTCTTTCATTTTTAAAATGGTTTGGTTGAAAAAGCAAAGGGTTGAGATCTGTCTGGGATTCCTAGCAGAAAATGGTTATTGTGGAGCTGACCTGTGAAAGGAGTGACAGTTTGTCTAAAGTAGGAGGAAATTATTCAGCTCATTGGTCTTCAATGGAAACCCAAAAAGATCATACATTTTTGTAAAGACCATATGCAAGAGTAAGAGTCAAGTCTTAGTATTAAGTAAGAATGAAAGCAAAATAAATATTCCTCAGTAACAAATGAATTCAAGTCTGACAGGACCATACTTAGTTATCTACCAGCAACTTATCTGCCAAAATAAAATTCAACATACTTTAAGGGAACTTAACATTATCCAGAAGCTCTACAACTATCATACTTGGTGTCCAGCTTAGAATACAAAATTACCAAATGTGCAAAGAAAAAAAATGATTAAGTAACATTCTGTCAAAAGATAAAGCAGATACTTCAGATATTAGAAGGAGCAGAAGAAAAATATATAACATAAAGCTGAAACTATGAATATTTTAAGGACTCAATTAAACTTATGGTAATAATACACAACGAGATAGAAAATATGAAAAAGAAAAACATAAAACTATGAGAAATTTCAAAACATAACATAATTATATTAAAAAACAATACTGGATGAGGTTATTGCAGACTGGGATATGAAAAGAAAAAAGAAGTGAACTTCAAATTATAGTTAGAAATTCTTTGATTAGAAGAACAAATAGAAAAAAAATAGGATGTGAAATATAAGTAGTCTTAGTAAATTGTGGGACAATACTGTTTAGTACATATATGTAATTGGAATTACCAAAAGGAGAAAAGAGAATATCGGGCAGAATAAATATGCAAGTAAATAATGGCCACATATCTCCCATATTATGAAGTTCAGCAAATGTCAAATAAGATAAATACAGCAAAAATTACAAACAGGTGCATCATATTAAAATTGCTGATGACCAAGGACAGAAAAATATGAAGAAGCCAAAGTAAAAAGACATTACATGTAGTAAAATAGCAGTAGGAATTACTGCATTTTATTATCAGAAAGAAAGATGGAGAGCAAAAAACATTAAAAAAATATCTTTAAAGTTCTGAAATAATAAAAAAGGACAAAACATCAGTTCCAAATGACCTAATCTAATAAAAGAGAAACATGCAAATTGACCACACCCCCACTACACCCCAAGCCACGCCCACCAGCCAATCAGGGAAACTATATGCAAATTAACCCAACCAAGATGGTGACCAGCAGCCACAGAGCTGGAGCAAGCAGGAGGCTTGGTTGCCCCAGCAATGAGAAAGCCAAGCTTCCTGCCTGCCCTGGCTAGCTGTGGCCACCGCTCAAGGCAACAAAGTTTCAATTATAGAAGATAAATAAATCCCAGATATCTGTGCCCTGGATGCCTGTGAGCTGGGAACACACGGAGCTTGGGTGGCTGGAGGCCATGGCCAGCCTGAAAACAGCCATCAGTCCCTCACCCAGACTGGCCAGGCACCCCAGCAGGACCCCCCTCCCTGAAGGTGGTGTGGTCAGCCTGAAAACAGACCTCAACCCCTCACCCAGGCTGGCCAGGCACTCCAGCAGGGACCCCCAACCTGAAGGGGGTGTGGCCAGTCTGAAAATGGCCCTCAGCCCCTCACCCAGGCTGGCCCGGCACCCCAGTGGGACCCCCACACTGATCTGGGACCCTCTTCAGGGCAAACCAGCCGGCCCCCACCCATGTACCAGGCCTCTATCCTATATAATAAAAGAGTAATATGCAAATTGACCCTATCAGCAGAATGACTGGGAATGCCTGGTCACTATGATACACACTGACCACCAAGGGGCAGACGCTCAATGCAGGAGCTGCCCCCTGGTGGTCAGTGTGCTCCCACAGGGGGAGCTCTGCTCAGCCACAAGACAGGCTGATGGCTGCCAGTACAGGGGTGGTAGCAGGAGCCTCTCCCGCCTCCTCAGCAGCACTACGGATGTCTGATTGCAGCTTAGGCCTGCTCCCCGCTGGCAAGTGGACATCCCTTGAGGGCTCCCAGGCTGCCAGAGGGATGTCTGACTGCCAGCTTAGGCCCGCTCCCCGGGGGATTGGGCCTAAGCCAGCAGGTGGTCATCCCCCGAGGGGTCCCAGACTGTGAGAGGGCACAGGCCGGGCTGAGGGACCACCCCAAGTGCAAAAAGTTTTGTGCACCGGGCCTCTAGTCTATATATATAAAAGCGTAGAATTAAGAGATGGTGGTTGGCAGGGTGAGGTGAGGGAGAGTAAGTGAGTGAGTGAGGGAATGAAAGAAGAGTGTGTGGATGTGTGTGGTGTGTGTGTGTGAGTGAGTGAGGGACAGTTAAATCCTTCAAGAGCAGCAGGGGCTGGCAGACCAGGCTCTCTTGGACAGGGAGAGACTACCACCACTGCAGGCACTCTACAGACTGCA